GTATTAAATTAGTTTGTTTAAACTTTAATTACTCTCTCTCTCTCTCTCTGTGTGTGTATATATATATATATATAGTGTGTGTGTGTGTGTGTGTGTGTCTTTTTTCCAGTGAAAAAAATTTCCCTGGAACCTAACCCCTCCATTTACATTAATTCTTATGGGGAAATTGGATTCGCGTTACATCATTTCACTTAAAGTAGCATTTTTCAGGAACATAACTATAATGTTAAGCGAGGAGTTATTGTACTAGGAAGAGAGCTGAGACATAAGCCCTTGTATCAGAGGCCTGGTATAAGGCAGGACCTGCTCACAGAATCTGGCAAGAACAGGACTGACATTGCAGAAATACATATGCCTAAGAAGTGCTAAGCATAGAGTACTCACGCAAACAGATCACAATATCAAATGGTACCAGAACATCCCAATATCAAGGATATTCCCCGAGGATAATAGGAACACACTGACCCTCCTAAAAGATAAGGTCAGGATGACAGTACGTAATAGAGATGTTTTGATCAAACCAACATGTAGAAGGTGATGGGTAATAACTAGCCACGTCAGGGGGCAGTAACTAATTGTGTCAGAGGCAGTATTAACTTGTTTGTATCAGGGTATAAAAACGTATCTCAGAGGGAATATCTTTGTTCAGTCAAGGGGGGAATGGAAAAGTCCCACCATTCATTGAGCTGCGTCCATTGTCACGGGCACACAAATTTTAGTATTCCCGTAGAGTCTGCCACGTGCTATTAAAGTGCTTTATCAACAATAAACTTGTCCTGGAGCTTTTGTACCTTAACGAATCTTGTGGTCATTGGGCGGTTCGCTCGAGGTCTGCTGTGCCAGCTGTCTGCGCAGAGGTGGGGTAGCACACAGGGAGAATACATACACGTAGCCAAACATCTAACCACAAACACTACACCCACTAGTGTTTTTAGAAATATGCCCACTGTTGTATTTTTCATTTAAATTTGTATAAAATATATAGCAATAATATCTGTCTCTTTAATAATTTCCTTTTCCAGCTCTCAAAATGTTTTATAATAGTGGTTTTATTGTCACCATTTTATAGCTAGGGCAGGGGTGGGCAAACTATGGCCCACAGGCTGGATCCGGCCTGTCAGGGCTTTGGATCTGGCCCACGGGATTGCCACCCCCATGGCGCCATGGAGCTAAGGCAGGCTCCCTGCCTGCCCTGGCCCCACACCGCTCCTGGAAGCGGCCAGCACCATGTCCCTGCGGCCCCTGGGTGTGGGAGGGGGCAGAGAGCTCAGCGCTCTGCCCTCAGCTGCAGGAATGGGGAACCGCAACCGCGGCCAATGGGAGCTTTGGGGGCGGTACCCGCAGGTGAGGGCACCACGTGGAGCCCTCTGCCCCGCCCTTCCCCAGGGGCCGCAGGGACATGGTGCCGGCTGTTTCCGGGAGCGGCATGGGGCCAGGGCAGTCAGAGAGCCTGCCTTAGCCCCACCGCATGCTGCTGCTACCCCGGAGCCACTCAAGGTAAGCGTCGCTGGGCCGGAGCCTGCCCCCCAAACCCCTGCTCTGAGCCCCCTGCCACACCCTTCCTGCACCCCAACCCCCTGCCCTGAACCTCCTGCTGCACCCCTCCTGCACCTCAACCCCCTGAGCCCCCTGCTGCATCCCAACCCCCTGTCCTGAACCCCCTTGTACACCCCGCTCCCCTCCTGCACCCCAACTCCCTATCCTGAGCCCCCAACCCCCTGCCCTGAACCCCCTGCACCCCAACCTCCTGTCCTGAGCCCCCCTGTACACCTCACACCTCTCCTGCACCCCAACCCCCTGCCCTGAGCCCCTTCCTGCACACTGCACCCCCTTCCACACCCCACACTCCCTCCTGCACGCCAACCCCCTGCCCCAGCCCTACATTCATGGCCCTGCATGCAATTTCCCTACCCAGATGTGGCCCTCAGGCCAAAAAGTTTGCCCACCCCTGAGCTAGGGTAACAGTCACAGATAGCAGAAGTGATTTGTCCAAAGTCAGATAGCAAGAACCTGACTCTTGGGGCTGCCTGCAATGAGCTCCTGCTGGGCGTTTACTGAAGTCAATAAGGATCTGAGCAGATTCAGGGATCCGCCTGTGTGGAACTCATTGCATGATCAAGGCCTCAGTCTGATGCACAATAAACGAAATAAACGTACAGGCATACAACAACGTATTTACAGAGCTGAATCCAGACTGGACGAAGACAGCACAGCAGCTGCTATTCATTTATAAAGCAACTGCATTGACTATGTGTTAGCTGCAGGAGAATTACTGGGTCTGATGAAGAGAGTGTAGAACGGCTTGAACATCACACTGCATGCATCATGGCTTATACCAGGGGTCGGCAACCTTTCAGAAGTGGTGTGCCGAGTCTTCCTTTATTCACTCTAATTTAAGGTTTCGCGTGTCAATCTTACATTTTAACCTTTTTAGAAGGTCTCTTTCTCTAAGTCTATAATATATAACTAAACTATTGTTGTATGTAAAGTAAATAAGGTTTTTAAAATGTTTAAGAAGCTTCATTTAAAATTAAATTAAAATGCAGAGCCCCCTGGACCAGTGGCCAGGACCCAGGCAGCGTGAGTGCCACTGAAAATTAGCTCGTGTGCCGCCTTCAGCACACGTGTCATAGGTTGCCTACCCCTGGCTTATACTTAGATACCATGGCAATGGGGCCAGGATGTAAATACCATAGACAGACAGGTACACAATCATAGAATAGAAAGGGCGAGGGAACTGCTGCCCTCCAGTTTTCCACGTGCTGTAGTATAGCAGAACAACAGCCGAACCTTGCAGGAGGCCCTGAGTCAATCAATCCCCACCCACTTTGGTACTGCAGAGGGGAGCGATTTGCGAGACAGTGAGGGTTTACGGCTGACCGTAAAGCGCCAGGGACCCACGTGGGTGCGGGAAGAACAACATCGCCATGGGGAAAAGGAAACCCCCCAGGCACCCGCTGGTCGGCAGCTTGAGCAAGAAGCAGAAAAAGCATCTCAAGGAGTTTGGGGAGGAGCACCCGTTCTACGACAAGTGAGCGGGCGCGGGGGGGATGTGATCTCGTGTCCCCGCTGCCCCTTGGCAGCCCGGCCTGCGCTGGGCTCCTGGCCGTGGGACTCCCCACAGCCGCCCGTGCAGCTGGGAAACGGCCCCTTCTCCCGTCGGCTTTGCACCCGCTCTGGGAAGAGCCCCAGGGACCTTTAGCCTGATTCTCCCCCCGGCCCCGGCGCTGGGGCAGCCCATCGCTGTCAACATATGATTAGCCCGGAAAGAGCCGAGGCAGGAATGGGCGGAGGCTGGAGGAGGCGAGCGGCTCCTTCCGCCGAGATGGGTCGGGGCAGGGGCGTTGCGAAGCGGGAAGTAACAAGGTGTCAGCAGCAGCGATCGCCCCGAGCTTACACTGCACCGGCTGCTCCCGGCCTGGGCGCTCAGCCCCGCCTGCCCCCGGGAGGGTGGGTGCCGGGCGGAGAGTTGGCAGCCGGGCCCTGGGCTCCCCGGGTACACGGCGGTGCCGGAGGCTGCCGGTCGGCACGTTGTCGAGGGTGGTGGGGTTGGACGGGGCGATGCTGGGGCTGAACGGGGCCGGCTTAAAAAGATCGTGAATCTCTCTCTGAAAAAGAGGCAGCGCAACTCTCCAGCCAGGGAGCGAGTCCGACCTCGCCTTAGGAAGGCGGAGGGGGCGATTGGAGAAAGCGGATGTCTAGGAGTTGGGAGTCTCCTGTTGTGTTCCCGGCTCTGTGTTACTTTGGACAAGACACTTAACTGGTCTGAACCTCAGCTTCCCCATTGCTCGCCCACCATTCCTAAGTGGGTTTAGATCAGTGGTTCTCAACCGGGCCCCCCGGGGGGGCTGTGAGCAAGTTTCAGGGGTCCGCCAAGCGTGGCTGGCCTTAGACTTGCTAGGGGCCAGGAAAGCCGAAGTCCCACCACAGGGGACTGCAGCCCTGAGCCCCACCACCCAGGGCCTGAGCGACTTAGCTTCACAGTGCCCCCTATGGTGTGAGGGGTCCCAGGCAATTGCCCTCCTTGCTACCCCCTAACACGGGCCCTGGATTTTATATGCAGAGAAACTGTTGTTGTGGCACAGCTGAGTCTGGAGTTGTTATAACACGTGGGGGAGAAGGGGGGCTCAGAAAGAAAAAGATTGAGAACCCCTGGTTTAGATCTTCACCTGACAAGTGCCTATCTATCTAGATGCAGTATTATTAAAGCTACCCCTCTCCCCCAGGTAGTACTAAACCTAATTTTTGAGTGTCTTGTGCACAGTAAGAGGCTTGGTGGGTTTAATTTAATTTTCTCCTGGTGGGGGGACCCCATTCACCCTGGCAGCATCTTGCTTCTACCACCTGCCACATCATCATAACGTGTGGAAAATTCAAAGTGGGACTTAGCTGCTCAGTGTGAATATTATGAAGTGTCACATGGAGATCAGGGGTCTTAGAAACTTGTGGGGACAGCAGTTTGCGTGGCCAGCTATGCACCTGGGGGATGTACTGAGGACTGTTGTCCCCCTAGAACCACCCTTATTCAAGTTTGAGACTGTCCCTTCAAATGTGTGCAACCATGCAGGTCTGACTGGGAGCCCATAATAGATATGTTCCTATGACTCTCTACATGTAGGGACAGGTATAGTTTGAATGTTTAGTCCAGTTTATGTACAGTAACTCCTTACTTAACGTCGTCCCGGTTAACGTTGTTACGTTGCTGATCAATTAGAGAATGTGCTCGTTGAAAGTTGTGCAATGCTCTCTTATAACGTTGTTTGACTGCTGCCCACTTTGTCCACTGCTTGCAGGAAGAGCAGCCGTTGGAGCTAGTTGGTGGGGGCTTGGAACCAGGGTGGACTGGCAGCTCCCCTAAGTTCCCAGTGTGGCAGTAGCCCACCAGGCTATCAATTGCCAGGCAGTTCAGCTGTCCCTCCTCCCACTGCCCTGTGCTGCTCCTGCCCTCTGCCTTGGAACTACTCCCAGGAGCCTCCTGCTTTCTGTGCAAAGGGGGGGAAGAGGGGTGCTAATGTCAGGGTGTCCCTCTCCCCCCTACTCCTGCCCCCCGCTCCTATACCCTCTCTCCACAGAGCAGGGGACATAACGACAGGGCTCCGGACAGATGGAGCTTGCTGGCAGAAGCTGCTGTCTCAACTTGCTGATCTACTTAAAAAGGCAGTGTACTTAAAGGGGCAATGTACATCTCTCTCTCTCTCACACACACACAGGGTGTGTCTCTGTCTCTCTCTGCCATGCTGTCTCCCCTCCCTCCATTCTTGCTGCCTTGTAGAGTGTGAGGCTACATTAACAACGTATTAACCCTTGAGGGCTCAGCCGAGTGCTCATTTATCATTTAGCAGCAAGATGTTCTCTGGGAAATATCCCACCCTCTGACTTCACCACCTCAACCAAGCTTCATAATCATCATTGCTGTGTACAGTATTAAATTGTTTGTTTAAAACTTATACTGTGTATATGTGTGTATATATAATATAGTCTTTTGTCTGGCGAAAAAAAATTCTCTGGAACCTAGCCCCCCCCCATTTACATTAATTCTTATGGGGAAATTGGATTCACTTAACATCGTTTCACTTAAAGTAGCATTTTTCAGGAACATAACTACAATGTTAAGCAAGGAGTTACTCTCAGGTAACCCAATTGATTCATCTCATGATTAAATATAAAGATATCCTTCACTGGTATGGAATTGAATTGGTAGCCAGTATGTTATACAACGTTTGGCTTTGTGCTGTACATTAGTTTTTTCTAGAGTAAAAGTAGTTCCCTACTACTTCATTGCTCCTATCTTAGTACTGTAAATGCTAGTTTGCCCCAGTTAACTTTGTTGTATAAATTTGTTAGCTGAATAATCTTGTAGTAAATTGGTGGCATATGCATATGCTCAAACAAATTTGTTAGTCTCTAAGGTGCCACAAGTACTCCTGTTCTTTTTGGTGGCATATTGTTAATGTTTGTTAGGGAATCTGCCTGTCGGAAGCAACAGAGCAGAATGCTTGGTTATTACGGCTTTTATGAGAGACTTAATATAACAGGGTCTTAACTCATCCACTGTCTGACTCTGAAACTGCCTCAGTTCCTCTCCTTCCCCAGTCACACCCCCACAAACAGTGCTTTGAATTACTTTCCCCTTCTGGGGTCTGGTTCATAAACATCAAATAATAGTTTAACTCAAAGCCAAAATCACCCACGTGCATTTTCAAGGCTCAGCAGTCCACTTCAACCCTCTTGGGCTCTTAACTCCCTCAAAGATTTTACTTCTCCCCCTTGTAGATAGCTCTAGCCAGAACTTTCTGTCTGGCTGGTATGGAAAGCAGGGTACCCTGTAGGAGCTTCTCTGCTCCCTTAAAGCATAAATGTGTGTCTTTCTCTCTTTTACCCTTGTATCAGGGCACCAATCCTCAGCTCCCCAAGCTTTGAGACACTCACTCAGGACTACTCTTAGGTCTTCCCTAGCTCCTAGTTGCCCTCCTTCTGAAGGCGGCAGGCTCACTCTTCTAGGAAGCCCTACCCTGGGGGTTACCATCAGGGCTTTAGAGCGGAGCAGTGGAGCCGGAGCACAGCTCCAAAGCCCTGGTTACCATTATGTGATGTTTGGCACCTGACCCAAACTCATCACCTGGGAGATGGAGTACTAGGCACAGGTGAGGCTGAGCTCAGCTCCCCTTAAAGGCCCAGCCCATGCTGTAACATTTAGCTTTTCCTTTAAGTTGGCTTTTAATTACATTAGGACTTATTTTTGGTTCATATTTATTGTTTCCTTTCCCCCACCCTACCATTTTGTTATGTTTATGTGAAGAAACTGTCAGATAATTAAGAAAAATAAATGTCAACAATATCTTTTCAGGGTTTCTGGAAGAGAAGAAACAACTGAAATTTGTGAGCTGGTAATACATTATTACTATTTTTATAGCCCTCTTTGTATTGCTATAGATAGTCATGAAACTAATATGAAGCATTAAACGGTATAGAGCTAATTTAGATGCCAAATCTAGATTTTAATTTAAGTAAAAACCTGCTTACAGAATACTTTCAATGAAGTTAAAAAAAATCCATTGGAAATAGTTTTGTTTGGTTTTACACATTTCTCTGAAAGGAGAGCCAGGAAGTGAAATTGAATAGAAACTGATGAGTCTCTTTTTGTCATCCAAGCTAAGTGTAGAATTTTTGCATTTCACCTAGCAATAATGGTGAAAAGTAAATTAAACTTTTAAAATGGAGTGTTAATAATAAGTATAATATTAAATCTGAGAGTGTCCCTTGTAACTCTTTATCTTATTAATGCCCATTATGGGGTAGGCAATTTGATTTTCATTCTCCAGTTAAACGGTATCTTTTCACTGAGTGAAGGAATTTCATTAAAGCTTGTTCCACTTCTCCAGATCTGTCGTGCTTTAATTTTGTTTTGGTCTGGAAAAGGATATCCCCTCCATCATTCCCTTTCAGATGGATGAGGAGGCTTCAAAACTTTAGGGTGGAGATTGGGTTCTTTTGCTAGTTGTTTGTTTCTTCAGCGATGGTTCATATTGTTGTTTACAGTATCTCTGCTGCCTCTCACTTCAAGGTGCCAGGAGCTGAAAAGGAAAATTTACTCTCAGCACGAAGCTTGCCAGTGTTCCTGCATAGTAATGTTGTGTTCGTAGCGCTGGCTGCAGTGTGAAATTTACATGCAGTCATAGCTAAACATTGTTACGCAGGAGCATGCTGGGCTGGTAGAGCAGACAGCAGCTAGGATTCTGACTGTTGCTTAGAGATTCAGGGTTGGCCTATCCACTGGGTTCTGTACTCATTATAAGGGATTTTTTGCTGACTTAATCTTTCGGAGACCAAGTTTGCCTCGTTGAAAGTTGATGTTTCTTCAATGGGCGAAGGATCTGAGCAGTGACTTTTTACTGATTACCAAGCGAGCTAAACTGATGCAGATCTCCACTAAATCTCTTCCTATATGGGTTGCTCTTTTGAGTGTCCGGCACCAGTTTAATGGAACTCATTGCTTGTGGAGACTACAAACGTTTTGACCTCCCTCTGACCATGGCTTAGACTGACAGGGTCAAAATCTGTGTTACTGTAACTCTGGACAAGCCCATTGAGTTAAATTAGTACAGAATTAGATGAACTAGATTTCATATTTAAAAGTCCAGAGGTCAAAGTTCTGTGTCCAAGTGGCCAAACTCATCTGTTCCCAAAGAAGCTTAGTGCTCTGACGTGGTCAGAACTGTTATCTTGTACTGTGTAAACAGACTTTCCTTATAGAGATGCTCAGTGCGTTACTACTTATAAACATATTTCCTAACAAAGTTTCATTAATATGAAGCTGATCCCTATAAAGCTGAAAACAATATTGCACTCATAAGCTATGTTGTAGATGTCTCTTACGCATAGCAATTTTTGTCTTGAAGTTTCTGATGCCAAAACTTTTAACTTCACTTTGAAGTTCTTTCAACCCCAACTGATCACAAGAAGCTATTCTTGGAGATGAAGATTTTCAAAACTACCCAGCAGATTTAGCCACACAACTTCTATTGAAATTAAGGGGAGTTATGTGGCTAAATCCGCTTTCAGAATCTCAACTGGGAGGCCTAATTTAATTGCAGACCTTAAGGAGATGCAATGAAACTACACCTCTACCTCGATATAACGTGACCCGATATAACACGAATTCGGATATGACGCAGTAAAGCAGTGCTCCAGGGGGGCGGGGCTGCGCACTCCGGTGGATCAAAGCAAGTTCGATATAACACGGTTTCACCTATAATGCGGTAAGATTTTTTGCCTCCCAAGGACAGCGTTATATCGAGGTAGAGGTGTATATAGGTCTGTTGAAGAGTAGAATCATGGAATGCAAAACTTAAAATGGGAGACCTTGGGCTGGCCACATGCATTAAATGAAAATACTGCTGCTTTGTGTATGTATACACACTAATAATTGCTATGCTGTTAGGATGCATGCTAATTAACATGCTGAAGGAATAATATGTATGTTCTGGAACACTATTTTCACATTCAGTCTGAGAATTCCGAGCACTCAAGTGCAGAAAGTGATGGAGAGAGTGAACCAGAGCAGGTCTCCGTGTATCACAAGCTACTGGCCACATTCAAGACTATTCCAGATGCCAACAATGAAGAAGATGACGAAAATGAGTCTGAAGAAGGTGATGAAAGTGATGAGGACGAAACAGGCAGTGAAGAGTCTCAGGAGGGTGAAGATGGAGATCATACAGCTGGTGAAGAAGATGAGAATGATGTGCAGGACCAGGAAGAAGGTAGTTTTTGTTTGTCTAATGTATGGGTAACAATGGCTGAATTGGCAGGTATAAACAAACCACGACATTCATTAAAGCCTCTGTATCCAAGAGTGGCTGCACTGCGCGCTGGGTTTCTGTTGGGGGGGGGCGAGGGGGCGGGGCTGTTTTTGTTTTTTGCTGCTCTGGCCCTGAGGCAGTAGTAGCTTCCATGGCTCCTGCAACTCTACGCTGAAGGGGTAGTGGCTAATGGATCTATGTAGCAGTAGATACATCAGCCCTTGGAACCCTCACGGAGCAGGGACTCTGCCAAGACACACAGAGGATGTTCCTCACCTGCACAGCAGGCACAGACCATTCCCCTCCTACGCACCTAGTTCTGCTTCTGCCACAGAAGAGAGGGCAGGATTTGCCTCTAGAGGAGAACATTTTTGAAATGGAAGGAAACCTCCTTTACAAGGAGAGAGCCTCATTTGCAAGGTTGGTTAGTGAAGAGTTCTAGTAAAGAGGTGGCAGCTTTACAAAATTGTAGCTATTTAAAACAGCATTGTTGTTTGGCAGCTAAAACACCCATCTGCAAAGATATTGTTTAAAATAATCCCTTGGGCATCAGTGACCATTATGCAGCATTTGGCATATGAGCCTTTGTTACTGTAAAACACAAACCGGTTCTGTGTTTGGATAGAATATTGGGAAAAATAACCAGTAGCTAAAATAATACCTGGAAGCTAACCAGCAAGAGTCAGGTGTCCCTGTAACTGACTCTTTTCAGAGAACATAATCCATTTCTCTCTTCAATAATTCACAGCTAAAGACACAGCAGAGCAGATGCTTGGCCAGGAGCAAGCCGATGGAGCAGATACCTCTAGTGACCCAAAACATGGAGCAAGTGAAGAGTTCACCGATGTGAAACATGAATCTGAATTTAGCCTGGAAACCAATTTCATGGACGAGGAGAGTGGTGATTACAATGCAGATGAGAGGGAGAGTAGCTCTTCTGTCATGGTTTCAGAAGGTAAAATACACTATTTGCGTAGTGAGCTCTCTCTAGTCCGGCTCCTGTAGTTTGACAGTTTACACTTGTTTACAATAGCCACACGCGGCAAGACTGCAAATTCCTAAAGGCATGCTGTCTAGCCTTTGAATTCTTATGTTACATTCCTGTTATGAGGACTTGTAAGCCAGTTGTGTCTATGTAAGCTCACCTGGTAATGTGGATAGACAAATTGTCTTCAGATTCGGGAATCTATTTATTCTCCCGTTAACAATGATGTGATTGTGACTCCTGGTAGGAGAGAACAGGGTCTTGAATTTACCCACACACATACTATGAATGAAAAGCCCATCTCCCAAGCTAACCAAAACAAAACTAGACTGAAGTTTAAGAACGTAGACGCTGTCTGTACTCAACTTCTAAATTTCAAGAAACAGAGGCTGAGATTCTTACTCCCGCTGTGGCCCCTCTACACCAAGATAAAGGGCCAGAGTGGTGTAAAGTGCCCTAAAAGCCCTGTATCTAGCTGGAGGAGGATTCACTTGGCACAAGCAAGTCAGAAGACAGCCATAAGGCTGACTTCTGAGCAACCGCTCACAAGCTCTGGGGTAACAGACGTGCCAGGAGTGTACTCTGGAGATTCTGGGCAGTGCTGCAGCCCATAGGCGAACCCTGGGAGGCTGCTGTAACTTAGATGTGCTGTTTGTACTGGCTAAGTTATGACAGGGGCTCTGCAGCCCAGGAACGGTAACGCACAAAGACACCAAAGCCTTCACATCTGTGAGTTCTGTGCTGTGCTTGTTCGTGATACAGCTGAGAATCTCTCCCTAAACATTAAATCAAACTGGGATGTGCCACCCAAACTCCAGTGTTTGAATCACACCGCCGTGCGAAATACAAATAACGGTGTGCAGTGATGTGTATGGCCTTTCCGTGATAAAGTAACATACCGCACATTGGCGTTTGCAGAATTTCTGTTCACGTTTCATGCTATGTGGTTTTGATATTAGATGGCATAATTTAAAAGAGAGAAATTATATTTGCAGCATCCCTGGTGACACTGGCTTGTCGGTTTACAACAGCAGCTGATATTAAATCTGGGATGCAATTTGGTTATTGCTACATTAGGGTGGATGCATCAAAGGGCCACGCGATGGGAAAAACTGTTCATTCTTGTTACCCTGGGGAATATTGCTTATGTTGTGGGCATTGCATTTTAATAGGAACTACCAGCTTTTCAAATTCATACTTGGCACAGTGGTATTGTTCAGCCTATAAACAATGTTTCTTTTCTTTGTGACATTGTGGACTGGAAGCTGCTTTTCAGCCTGTGGTAAAAGAGGCGAAACTGGGTCCTCTAGAACAACAGATATAGGTGCATTAGTCAGGGAGCAAATTTCTGTCCTTATCCAGCACTGACTTCCTGAAAATGGTGGTAATCATTCACTTTCCCTGGGCCAACCAATGCTGGAACCAGTATAAATAGTAACAAATCAGAGAGGCTGTCTTACTTTAAAGTAATATCCTCTTCAGTTTCATTGCTGGGAAGATATGCACAGCACTGCCACAATTTAGAAAACCCCATGAGTTTTGAGCGCTGGATAACCTCAAGACATTGGCACTAGGATTCTCTCTAGTAGGCATTTTTCCTTATGAAATGAGCAGTCCTATGTGATGCAATTATTATCAGGGCCTGATTTTTCAAAAAGCTATGCCTATGATTGTACATGCTGTAGTGTATGGACAGCTACCTGATCTGCTTTTGCAATTACTTGCCTAAATTAATTGAAAATCAGGCCTTTAAAGATTTCAGAAGCAGTTTGGGAGTGTGGGAGAGATTAGACTAATCAATCTTCACCACCTTTTAGGGAAATTAAGCAAATACAAAAATTCTATTTCAGAAAGTTTTTCTCCCATAATAGAACGGTATTGACATACTTGATCGAAAGCACCCTATCCCAGGCAGAGCTTTCTATGAAAAAGAAAATGGGCTCATTATTTTTCTTGCAAAATGTGAGATACAAAGTGATGTGCAACAGTATTGTCCCCTTCACACGTGTCTTGCAGTTGAAGCTCCACGGTTTCCAGCGTGGTGCTATTTTTTTTATGTTTTGTTTATATACAGAGTATTTGACATTCTGTAGAAGTGAAATGTCTCATCCCTCCAAGTGCTGTAATATCATTTGCTAGCAACTGAGTTACCTGGTTCAAATATCATGTATGACTCAACTTGCAAATCAGTTCAGAAATTTGATTCCAGTTTTAATAAGAATAGCTTTTGTTTTTTAAATAGATCCATTTAAGCAACATATGAACAAAGAACTGGAAGAAAAAGAAATAGGAAACATTTCAGCACGTTCTAAAAATACAATTCAGCTGAAGGTAATGATGTGTTTGTTTCCCTATCATGAGCTTATAAAAGTGCCTGCATTAAATGAAATTGATGTTTATCTTACATTAGTCCTTTTGTATGCTTTACTATTCCAAAATTCCAGTATCTGCACTGAAATAGATTCTGAATACTTATTACTGTTGGAACTCTTGTCAACATTCAGTCAGACTGCATTGTTGTTTAGATTTTTCTTTTTGCCTAGTTCAAAGCTGGAGTCAAAATTTAAGATTAGACCTTCAACTGGAGTAAATGGGAGCCACTGAGGATCTGGCCCTTATGGTCTAATCTGCACTATTGAAATTAGTAGACAGTTTGTTGTTGACTTTTGGTAGGATTAGTCCCGCAAGGCCTGATTCTGAGAGGAGGCAAGCACCTCCTGTGATATGCTGGGCACCTGAACACTAGTTGTTACCACAGTCATCATTCATCCAGTCAGACACCTTGATGTTACTTTATAGATTTAAGACCAGAAGGCACCATCTAGTCTAACCTCCTGAAAACTTGGACTTGTTCAGGATTTGAATCTAGGATCTCTTGTATCTAAAGCAAGACTCCTACCCTACACCAACGAGCCACACTTAATAGATCTGCTCTTCGATCTACTTGTTCAAATACAGTCATTTGTCACTAAGGGTTCTGTTCTTGGGGTGGGGGTGGGGCGGGCAGGGGGAGAGTTAAAGATGCCCAGCACATGTAACATCTTGAATAAATTATCCAAGAGGTAACCTGCAGCTGTCAACTCTGTCCTCCCCGTAGTTTTAGAAAACCTGGTAATGAATAGGAATCAAAGCTGGATAGTTGGAAAATACTTTTAGGAAATGAATATCATTTTTTATTACTTGGATTGCCATAGCGTTCAAAATCTGCTAGATACTTTCCAAACATCGATACCGTCCTTGCCTAGAAGGGTATGCAATCTATTTTAGATTTTAAATTGATGGTCCGTCTCATTTGTCATCTTGCTCAACAATTTACATTAGTTTTGTACTCCTAGTAGTGACTAACTACTAGTCCTAAAATGAACCACATGAGATACATCTTGATATTCATGTCATAGGACTACTGTAGCCTATTACTCATTTCGTGACATGCTGCTTCTAGTGGCATGTAGATTACATCACCATGAAAACAGTGTTTTTTTAATATATATATTTAAAAAAAAAAACGTAGTTTTCATGGTGATGTAATGTAATATACACAGAGAGAGAGAGAGAGAGAGCACACAGTTATTCAACATGAGGTAGATTGATTTTTAAATCACTGATTTTAATCAACAAGCAAGAAATCTTGGTTTGAATAATCAATTTTAATCTTGTTTTGCATTGATTCTCATGAATTGGTATAATTTGATACCTTTTTTTGGTAGTAAAAGAATATACTCTATCTATACACATTTATTTAAGCAATTACATAGCTTAACAGATCTGAATAGATTCTTAATTTTTACATTTTTATTATGTTAGAAAGTGGTGAATGATCAATTTCTTATTCAGTAGATTAATTTTTTTATTCATGATTTGTGTCAAGCTGCATTTGAATGGAAATTGGAATTTAGTTTAAAAATCTACAAAACAGTATTTTAAAATTGTTTTTTATTAGTTAAGTAATTAAAACTACCTTAAAAGTTCTGGATGCATAAATTAAAAAAACGAAGTTTATCAAAACATGTTTTGCATTTTACACTACCTGATTTAGTAAAGAAAAGAAGTATATCTGTAGTTAATGAATTGAACTGACTATTTCTGGTCACCATATCCTTCACAACTTTAGAATTAATAGATCGCCACTCACACCTTATTTTTTTATTCATATTCTGCTTTTTCTAGTTTAATAAACTGAAATAAAGAAAATATTCTCTCTGCACTTGCAGAAGAGGCTACTGCAGTCAAAAATTGGACTGAATATTTTGTCAAACTGTCATTCAGGTGCTTGGACAGGATCACCAGATCAATGTCTTTTAAACTTTGGCAACAAAAATGTACTGCTTGAATATTATTTTTTCTTTAATTTAAATTATTTTAATAGATTATAGTAAATTTAGGTTGTAACATAAATTGTCATAATTTCAAATAGGTTTCTTATACAGAAAAATTACTTAATTTGCATTAAAAATGCAATTTCCTTCTTTGTTTCTTTAAATCATGTATTTTTATCCACCTGATACATTGGCTTACCCTCATTTAGGCTGGAGTCTGATGTTTAATGGGAATCTTACAGCAGGCCATGATTTTATTTGTTGAAGAGTGGCCATAGGTAAAGACATGGAACAAATACAGAGGCGATATGTAAACTGATGCATGATGTACATTGGTAAATTGGGTGCAAGTGAGAACAAAGAAGGGTGTAACTTACGTGGTGAGAGGCTAGAAAAAGCTAGAGCCTTATTTAACTTGCCCCTGCTAATTGTTTCCTTCGTTGCATTCATCACTTCTGGCCTTTCAGAATGTAAATCACACTAGCTTATGCTTCCTGGTTAAACTCTCTAAGACACAGCAACTAACATGTAATTTACATCACCTCTGAATCTGGTCCTTGAGCTTAAAAAAGTGCTTACATGAATTATCTTATTTTTCATATGGTAAAGAAAGTAAATGGTATGTTTACACCATGGAGACTATATCAGCATTGCTATGTTGGCATAGCCCCATAGTACATGCAGACTACACTGACAGAAGGAGTTTTCTTGCAAATATAGGAACACCACCTCCCCAAGCAAAGTTAGCTATGTTGATGGAAATCCACTTCCATCAGCATAAGCTACATCTACATAGAGGATTTTGTTGGCATAGCTACATTGGTCAGAGGTGTGGTTTTTTTTCACCCCCAACCGAAGTAGCTTTGCTAATAAAACCTTTTAATGTAGACTAAGCCTGAGCGATTGTGTGTTGAAGGAAGAATGGTTATTAATTTGTATCATTTTTGAGAGGCTAGTGTTTCATATATGTTATTAAAATAACTGCTATATCAATGTATATTTTTAGCTGTATGGTGCTAAGTAATATCACGTTTGATTTTCTTTTTCTTTCTTTTTTTCCAGTGGCCAACATTGGGCCAGTTAGTTTTTTCTTCTTCGTTACAGCAGCCGAGAACTTTTAAGCCAGATAAAGAAGCTGATTTGAAACGGCTTCATCTTCACAAGACTTTAGAATCCACCTGGACAAAAGTGAACAGCCAGTTCTTATCCACACTGACTAGACAGAACAAACACCCATTTACTCTGTTACAAAAGGAACTCTTTTGTATTATGAATCGGTACAAAGACTTGTTCTACCCAGAAAGAACTGCTTTAGGGAATGGGGAAGAAGTGCGTCATGCTTACTGTCTGCATGCAGTGAATCACGTCCTGAAGGCAAATGCCCAGGTTCTCAGCAATAATGCCAAACGAAGAGATCAGAAGCCAGCAGTTGATAATGATGATTTCAGGGACCAAGGACTCACTAGACCTAAGGTGGGAGGACTCCATTAGCATCATCTTTTGTTGGGTAATTGACCCTCCATGCAATTGTCATAATAGTTTATCCTGGCATCATCCACTAGCTCTTTATATCTTGTGACATGTTCCCAATTTTTGTCTTTTCACACTGGCTGATCGTGTTGTCTTGAAGCTGTCTATAAGCAGCAAGGGCAAATTGTCTGGGAAAAGGGCTAACTTCAGTTTGCACATTTTGCAGGCAGACTAATTCCAGGACACCTGCTCTGTTGGAAGAGTTTTTCTGGTGCCGTAACAGATTGATGTGTGTCTCCTTCCTTGTTAAAAGAAGAACAGGAGTACTTGTGGCACCTTAGAGACTAACAAATTTATTAGAGCATAAGCTTTCGTGGACTACAGCCCACTTCTTCGAATAATTATAAATTCAAGGGATCCAAAAAGCCAAGATATATGTCCTTCCATGATGATCTAACC